GAGAGTTTCATTGCACCTGCGTCCACCCAAGAGTTCTCTTCACTGTAGACTTAAAACTGCCTCAGGTTGCATCCCTCAGCTAATAAGTCTGCTTTGAAAAAAAATGGACCGCTTGCTCCAGTGTTATTGTTCCCTGCTAAAGAGAATTTCAAGAGAATGAAAAGATGCTGTGTCCCATTCTCCAAATCCTGCCACACTGTATTTTATCACAGTTAGTTTCATGTCTTAAGGTCACAGGAAGCGGCACAGCAAAATTTATCCATTCATCTGTGGTTTGCCAGCATTTGTCATTCACAATGGCTCTCCAAGCTTCTTTTTTATCTTCTCTATGCACCATGTATTCTGCCATTTTGTCTCAAGGATGGTACACCCTTTCAATAAGGACTTATTAAAAGGAGGAAAAAAACACTCCGGCTCTCCGGCTCTGAATTCCCTCCAAGGTCAGCACCATTAGGACTGCTTGCTAATGTTCCATGGCACGAATTTTCATGTCAAAGTTAAAAGTACTACAAGGAGTTTAACTGGTTAGGGCAAGGCAATTTAATACGAATGCCTCTATGTGACGTACATAAACAAACAAGACCATGACAGAGAAGATTGGCTACTTCTATATAGTTATTCTTAAGGCGCATCCGTCTTGAAATCAATGAAACGAGGGTGTGGAAACACTACCGCTTTTGTCCACAGGGGCCGCCAGACTTAATACAAAATGAAAGTCCCTTTAAGGGCTTTAAACAAAGTAGGAGGCAACCTCTCGGTTTTAAATGGATTGATTTTGCCCCAGAGTTTCACTGGTTTAAATGGCTTAAATGGACCATTGACCGTATATATATAGGTTTCCTAATGAGTTTATGGTCTCAATCGCTAGTTTCAACCCTTTAAGCAGTGTATGCTTTAGGGCGCGCCACCAAACTCGGACTAAACTGTCAAACTAGGCAGCACTGATCAAATATGAATCAAGATTCAGTGTTGTCGCATAAAGTCATTAAAAACATATTTTGGTGTACCGTCTATCTGTAATACGAGATTGCGTGTGACCAGGCAAGCCGCCATTGTTTCCGCAGCCAATGAGAGCAGCTCAACTCCCGGTACGTCCCCTCCACTGGCTCCAACACACTGCCATGGCGCCGAGGATTCAAAACGTACTCCACAAACCAATGTGTGACATCACGACAGGTTCACACTTTTTTGCGTTTAGACAAACAATGATGCCGCATGAAAGGAAGACAGCCCCCTCATTCTCTTCAATAAGCACAGGGCTCCGGCACCACACTGCCTAGTCACACACATGCAAGCGCACCAGTCGTTCCTTTGTAATATGAACTACTGTTCACTGTGCAATTACCACCACAGAGGATGAAAAGACTGTTGTGATAACTTTAGAGAGTTGTAAATCCTGTCTCATAGTAGTGTAAACTGCTGTGCACTGTTTTGTCATCTGAGAATCCTTCAATCTCATGGAGGATTCATTTAAACCGGACCTCCCAGGCTCCCTGCCTCGTTTTAAAGCTGCCAACACCCCCTTATTGGTCTGAATGGAACATGTTTCTGTCTGTTTTATCAAGGGGAGATAACCAAAAGTGAATCTAAATCTAAAAGGATATCAATCACACTGTCCCGTCTCAGTCCATTTTGGCTTCACAATGCTGCTGAATACTGCAACTGTACATCTGACGTCCTTTTGCTACAGAATTCCGTTTGCAGACCTTATCAAATGAAACCATACCGAGGAGGAGAAAGCCAGGCCGGCGTTGAGGATTTGAAACAGCTTCTCCAGACTGCAGGTTGATCTGTGGGCGAGGGATTCTCCACAGTGGTTCAGCCGCTCATTTAGGAAGCTGCCTAAGATCATTTCCTGTCCAAGAAAAAGACAAATGCGTCTTCTGGCGCTTAGGCCACTACTGGCTTTCTTCATTATCAAGCAGTCCTAGCTCTAAAGAGCCCATATCCTGCTCGCCTGTCTTGTAAGGGCCGACAGTTTTATCTGAGTGCCCAGTGGGACCATTAACATTCTTTAAACGGAGAGTGGACGCATGTTCAGGGGGAATGGGTCAAAATAAATGTCCTTTTGATCCGTTGTAGTCATTATGCACGAGAAATCTTGTCGTAGCATTAAAAAAAAAAAAAAACTCATTAGATGTTATTAAACTTCAGGTCAGAGGTCAGCTGTCCAGAAAGGCTGCAGGTAATTTGGGGAAGCAAGCAGAACCCTTACATGAAAGTCGATGCTTGGCAGGCATGTGCAGTCTGATGCAACAGCCATATCATATAGTATCTTTGAGTACAGGCCAAGTAGCGCTCAGCTGGCTAAAAACCCTCATTCAGGTCAGCGAGGTCCTTCAGTGGGGTGTGAGGCTCACCTTACAGCTACGTGAAGCAACATCTTCATGTGAAAATACGCCATTTCATCGGCTTAAATTACACCGTGCCGTGTCAAGCATGCACACGTTTCCAAACAAAATAAATAAAAAGCTAAAAGAGTGAGTGAAAGCCCCATCGGAAGGAAAAGCCTATGTTAGATCTCTTTCCTCTCTGATGGTATAAAGCATCAGAGAGCGTCTCTGCAGTTAAAACACAAGCACACTGGGTGCAGTTTAGCAGCAGTGTGTTACCGGATTTGAAGCTATTAAAGCTCACAACAGCGGAGAAAACACTCGCTCGGCGTGCGCACTTTCAACATCACAAATTAATTCATTAGCAGGCAACACGCCAGTCAAGTGCTTTCAACAGACGCCGTGGTAGTCAGGTTATGGAGGTTCACTTTTTTTGCGGTTAACCCTCCACTGCAGCTTAAGGTCGCTGCCGTCGTGCACACGGTGACGCCTAAAGGGCAACTTTCACGTCAATGTACTGCCACTGCCCTGGTATGAACTCAACACCAGGATGATTAATACTTTTTGGTTTGCATTGCACCAGAAGCCTGCTCAGTATGAAGGGCTGTGGTTTACAGTGCATGCATGGGTTTGGTGATGTGCACATCATAAGATGTCTAGACGTCTGTACTACAACTGGGCTAAATTTAGGTGAAATGTCAGATTTTAGACGTCTATGGTTACGTGTTTCAATGACTGTATTTAAATATGAAGAACACATTCATGGTTTTCTGTGGGTTTCAACAGGTTCAGTTTAAGAGTTTTTATAAGCACTGTGGAAGTCATTTTAGACCTTTTTTACATCCACACTGGCAAAAGAAATTTAAAAATACCAAGGATAGGAAAATCTGAATTGGTTCCATATCGGTTTAGTTTAGGAATGGTTACAGCATGATCAATAAAAACTCCCCAAAAACACATCTAAAACAGGCTTAAAAATGCAACTTCATGCATGTAACGTTAACTTCATTCATCCACTCCATTTTTAGGACTTGTCAAAGTCATATTGAAGACATTTAAGGCCTAAAATTCTGATTATTGGATTTTTCGAGACCCCACGGACACCCTGACATTTACTGACTGCAAAACTCTGCACCATGTAAAGTCATTTCTGTCCTTTAGACCCTGTTGCATTAAGGCAGGGGGGAATAGTGCTGGGAAAATATCTCAGCTGAGAATTGGTATCTTATAAAAAGGAAGAATAAAACATACGTTTAAAGAAAATGAAACTTGTAAGATCCCCAACATCCCTAACAGGCATCCACACATGCCTTCAGATACAGATGCTTTGAATGACAATTTGTGTCTGATGGCTCCGCAGCTCAATTACCTTGTTAAACATTATTCAAATGACATCTACTCCTTCCCCCTCAGTGAAAACAATCCCGATTCTATGAATATTCAGATACATGTCATTTCAAAAGTTCAACAGCTGGACACGGGAGGTTTCCATTCTCAGTGTTTGTGCACTGGAGGCTTCACACATCACATCACACTTGTGTGCATTGCATACTGGGACCACAATTGACTTTCAAACTTCGCCGGGCTGTCACAAAACTCTGGTTAAGTGTGAGCACAGCGAAACCTTCCCTCTACAGCGGATGAATGTGAAAACAGCCTTCTAGTGTCAAAGTGAAGGGAGACTTTAAGGACTTAATTACAGACAGAAATGAGTTGACGAGACAGCGTAGCCCTTAGGATGTGGTTGAGGCGATGCTTATATACAGAGAGCCGGCTTCTGGGCTACATTTAGCCCTGTTCAAACCCAGACACCTACATCTTTTGACCTGCCAATCACCCCCACCATGCTTCCTCTGTTGCAGAGTCCCTTGTGAGAGAGAAAGTTGAGGAAACCCCAGAATCCAGAGCCCGGTTGTGTTCTGGTCTGTCCATCACACAGGGACATGTTAGTCGCTGTGTGGTGTGATGGGGAGATTTTAACTGCATCCCCCCCCTCCCTTAAGAAAACTGCACCCCCCCAAGAAAACTGCACAGACTTGTTGGCTGCTCTCTGCATGCCTTTCCCCCCCACAATGTCACACAGGGCTTGCTGCAGCAGCAGTCTGGCGAGGGGCGACATCTACCCTGGAGAAAAAAATGCACCAACTTTCTGTCTTGATTTAATCTAAACCTCATGTAGATCCTACACACACACACACACACACACACACACAGTGAACTTTGGACGGCAGCAGGGAGAGGTTAGCCTAATGGTCGACCAGGAGGGCTTTTTTCAAGAACATTCCAGCTCAATGGGAAAGAAGAATTGGTGTTTGGTTGAGAGGAACAACAGCATTTAAACATGACGAGACAGGCGGAGAGGCGGCTGCCAGAGCCTCCTCTCCGGTACGGCTAACCGTGTGCATCCCGGCTAGCGTTAAAGCCGCCTCTCCAATGCACGTTTCCCCTTAATAAAACCCCATCCCCGGTGTGCAACTGCAGGGCCCGGCGCCGCCATACACCAGCACATAGACACATAAAACAACACGTATAGCATGCCCCGTAGCACCAAGCGGAAAGAGACATGCGAAAAATGAGGAGGAGGGGGCTCAAACCGGGACCGTAAACCGGCGGTAGACCCGCCGAGGACGGGACATAAAGAGGACAAGTCTAGTTAGGCGAACTAACCTGTTTGGGAGGAGCACGGTCCGCTGGATATTGGGTTGAATCTGCTTTAAATCCACTATGAGTAAAACAAAGAGGCGAAAATGACCGAGCGGCCGCGGAACAGGCCGAAACAGCACTCCTGGAGCAGCGGTGCGCATGCGCGGGGAGGTGGAGGAGGTGGTGTGGGGGGGATGAGCGAGGGGGGTGGGGGTGAGCGAGGGGGGTGGG